GGGGCGGGTGTGGACTGAACGCTCACTGGCCTGACTGGCGCCACGTTCACCCGACCAGATGCCGCCGGGGCATCGTGTCATGAATCTTAATTGTTTAATGCCATGCTGTCATCTCGAGTCGAATGCGATAAGGGGCACCAACGCGAACTGCAGGTAGCCGGCAGCTCTTGCTTTTCGTCGGGTCAGTCACTTTCCCAGAGTTCGACGGTCTTAACAATGCCTCTGATCAGAAAGGTCGGAATCAATAAACATAGTTTAGAGCAACAACTTGCCTAGGCAATCTGTATAGTTCTTTGGGAATAAGTGTGCGTATATGCGAAGGAATAAATGAAACAAGCACACGCACACGCACGCGCACACACACAGAAATGTGTAAATGACTGAGTGAATATTTTGTACGTGTATGTAAATATGTTGGGTCTGTGTGTGTGTATATACGTATGTACATGTGTAATTGTATTTGTATGTGTGTATGTATGTTTGGATGTCTGTACGTGCGTGTGTGTGTGAACGAGCTCGCCTGCCAGCATTGCCAAGGCCGAACATCAAGGCTCCCCCCCCCCCGCAACCTCCACCATGCCCCGCCCCGCCCCTCCCTCAGGCAGGTAAGCGCACAAGACCTAAATTTGAAAGCTTTGCACGTTCTCCCTAAGTATCGCACGTTAGTATTAGTCAGGCCATCCCTCAGGATGCGTCGTACGATAATTCAAACTCTCTCTCTCTCTCTCTCTCTCTCTCTCTCTCTCTCTCTCTCTCTCTCTCTCTCTCTCTCTCTCTCTCTCTCTCTCTCGTCGTCGCAACTCCCCGACAATGACACTTTTTGGCGACCTCGCCGTCTCGCCTGAACATGACCCAAGGTGAAAAACAGTAAAAGGTAAATACACAAAAACACAAGAAAAGAGATAATGGACCCAAGCTGCCAAGGAATCCAAGACAAAAACACGAACTTCTAAGCCAGAACTACAACGCGTCTGTCTGGCGCCATCCCGCCGGCCGACGGCTGTCGTAAACAATCGCGGAAACGCGTTTCCCACGACGCACATTCGCCGTTCTGCGACGCCATTCATCCTCTTGTGCTTCACTCACAGGTCGAATATCATCCTTAGACAAATCAACTTCAAGCTAGAAGCAAAAGCCTCGTTGTCGGAGAGTGCAACCGATGGAATTTTAATATAATTTCACATCATCAGCGAAATTAACAACGGCTGAGAAACAGAAACTGCGAACAAGACCCAAACGCAATCGCTGCGGAAGAGCGGACCGAGAGGAGACACAACTTACACAGCCTGTTTACAAATATCAGGACAGAATTGCTATTGTTAACCCTAAAAAATAGGCTGCGCTGCATAATTCTTCTCCATATTTCCTTACTTGAGAAACTATACTAATCGTACGATTTTACTCATTCACAAAACTTACAGGTAAAACGAAAAGAGAAAACCTTTCTCCTCTGAGCTCGCGTCACCCACGCCCACATGATCAACACAAGGCGCCCCCATAAAACATGACGACACAAAGCCACACAGCTTACAAAACCTACACGTGAAAATTGGCATCGCCCGAAGAATGTGTTGGCAGTGGAACCATTTACGCCCTCGAAAGCGCAACGAGTCTGGCTCCAGCTTGGTATGAAAGTACAAACTAATTTTGGAGGTTAATGGTATTCGACCTAATCTTAGAGGTACTTATTTAGGGGTTCATAGTATTCTTCGTTTTCTTTGTGAGGCTCAAGGCAGACCACAGATTGGAGAATCGAAAGTTGGCCAATTAAAAAGATCTGGTTTCCTCATTGCCCATTTGAATATTGAATAAGGACGCACGTAGTTCAGTTTAATGAGGATCGGCCAATCTCTTCTAATACTGATGAAATGATATTATCTATTATGACTATCCATTTGTTCGGTTTCGACTAACGATCGACAGTTTTCATTACTTTCACAGAGAATTCAAGTTTTTTTTTTTCATTTCATTAACATCCATTTTCCTCTTTACCTGTTCGACATTTCCGACATTTTTATTCATGTAAACAAAGCCGATGGCAAAGACCTCGGCACATTGTACAAGGAAGCGTCCCTGTGGCTGCTCATGAGATGTTTATTCCTTCTCTTCGCTCAAGGCGGAGCTCTCCCTCGTCTTCCCCTTTCAGTCCCTGAGCAGGTCCTGGGTCAACATGGGTACTTGTGTGCTGAAGCCCCGCCCCGATGCCTCCCCGAACAGCTTCTTCAGAAAGTGTAACGCTTACTGGTCTCCCAAGGTACTTTTCTTCATCAGGCATATGACCTGCATAGACACATGCACACACACACGCACACACACGATGTACAATGTGCGTACAGCATAAATTATATTTTTCTTGGTGTGTGTGTGTGTGTGTGTGTGTGTGCGCGCGCGCGCGTGCGTGCGCGTGTGTGAGTGTGTGGATGAAACTTTTTTTTATCTTATTGTGAAAGAAAAACAGGGAAAATTTAATCCAAGCATGTGTACATGTCTTCAAGCGCTGTTGAAATTCATGACCAAATATTGACGGCTGTTTTGAATAAGAATCTAAATAGCTTCTTCAAACTCAGCGGCTGCGAAATACACCCAGCGCCCAAACATTCGCACTGTCACCCCGTACCCTGCCATACATATTTTAAACAAAGTGAAAATCTGCCTCGAACCAGACCCATCCAGTGCCCAGCGCTTCCAGGCCCCCCACGTCCCCCCCTGGACGTCCCTGCCCCCCTGCGCCCCCTACCCCATTCCTCCGAATCTCCTCTCTGCCACCCTTTGCTACTTCGCTATCGAATATAACATCACCTAAATTAATGAACAACAACAATAATAATAAAATAATCCCTCAAGCAATCCATCCATCGAGCGAATACCAAACGACCTTTGGCCGCGGGCGCCCACGAGACGCACGACGCGCTGCCTCGCCAATGAGTGCTCTTCGCAGGCGGAGGAAGGGGGGACGTGGAACCGGTTCTGAGCGTGGCGTCAGCGAGGGGGGGGGGGGGGAGGAGGGCGAAAAGAGAGAGGGATAGGAGAGGTTTGGGGGGAGAGGGAGGGCGAAAAGAGAGAGGGATAGGAGAGGTTTGGGGGAGAGGGAAGGTGAAGCGGAAAAACAGGAGAGGGGGAGAGGGAGGGGGAGCCAAAAAACAAGATAGTGAGGGACAGGGGGACAGGAGGAGAGAAGTAAGGATAGGATGAAGAGAGAGGGCCAAGGAGAGGAGGAAGGGGGTGGGGGGTAAAGGAGAAAGGGATGAAGAGGGGAAGTATGTAGAAAGAGGGTAGAAAGGCTGGAATATGAGGAGACAAGGCTGGGGAGGAGGAGGAGCAAAAGGAGGAGGTAATAAAAGAGGAAAAGGAGGAGAAAATAAAGGAAAAGAAAAATGAGGAGGAAGAGGAGGAGGAAGACAGGAGAGAAGGGTAAAACGAAATGGGAGAGAGCATGGACGAAGGAGAGACGATGAAGATACCGTGAGACGAAGAAAGAGATGGAGGGACAGAAGAAAGAACAGCAAGAGGTAAGAAGGAAAAAAGGGAAAGAAAGTGCACACCGCCAATAACCTTACATTAACGTCAATCATCATTAATCTCTCTCTATCCATCCCCCTACTTTTACCCATTTACACGAATAAAGAGGGGAGGTAGGCAGAAAGAGGGTTGAAAGGTAGATAGGCTGGGATGTGGGGAGACAAGGATGAGGGAGGAGGAAGAGGAGAAAAAGGAAGAGGTAATAAAGGAGGAAAAAGGAAAGCAAATAAAGGTGGATAAATAGGAAGAGGAAATAAAGGAGGAGAAAAAGGAGGAAATAAAGGAGAAAAAGGAAGAGGAGGTGAAAAAGGAGGAAGACGAGGAAGAGGAGGAGGAGGAGGAGGAGGTGGAGGAAGACAGGATAGACGGGTAAAGAGAAATAGCAGAGAGAAGAGAAAGAACAATAGGTAGAGAGAAGGAAAAAAAAGGATGAGAAGAGAGAAAAGGTACAACCACGCAAAAATTCCCCGTCCTGCGTCGCGAATCTTACATTATCGCCAATCATCGCTCTCTCCCTCCTTCCGCCCACCTCCCTTCGCCCCTTCACACGCATAAGGCAAGCGCCAGGCGGGGACGCGGCACGCCTCACACACGGCGAGCCAAGGACACTCGGGTTCAAACGCACAAGGAAGAAATGTGTGTAATCTTGTTTTGGGCGCGCGGGGGGGGGGGGGGCGGAGATAAGAGAAGTGAGAAAGGATAAGGGAAGAGGGAGAGGGAAGGGGACGGAAAAGGGAAGACGGGGGAGGGGAGGGGAAGCGAAACTAGGAGGTAGAGAGAGAAAATAAAGGAACAGAATATGGGTGGGTATGAGGGGAAGGGAGGAGGGGAGGAGGGAAAAGGGGAAGACAAGAATTGCGGAAATGTGAAGGAGAGTGAGGAGAAGGAGAGGAAAGGATTCACACAACGAAGATAGAGACACGAGAACGGCGAGAGAAATTAGGAGAAGGGAAGGAGAGCAAGGAAAGCTGACTTAGAAATGAAAAGAGAGAAGTATAACATGAGCCCAAAGCCAATCGCTGGACGCAGGCAGGCCGTCAGAGTAAGAAGAACCGCAGTTATGGCTCCTAACCTTCGCTTCACCCTCTGCCGAGAGTAGATGGCCGATACCAATCCTTATTTCAAGAAGACGCGAACAAAAGCCCAACGACTATTAATGCCGTTTACGTCCTTTAAAATTCCAATTAGGCAAACCCTGCTGACTCCGCACCGTTAGCTGGGCTTAAGGCCTTGGCGCGGGCAAGCCTAGACTAACAACGTTTACCTGTTAACGCTGTGTCCTATTTCGACCTTGTTCCACATGGATATAGATTTACCAAACAGCTTCATACTCTAAGATAGCATCGATAAATAAAAGGAAATATACTTTAAAACTATAGAGGAAAATGTTTGCTGCTTCAGCTCTACGATAAGAACTTCTATGGCATTGCAACCTTGCAAACTTTGACTTTTAGCGTCATACAAACAGAAGCTAAGCTTACCTTCTTCTGTGATTGGGGAAAGGGTGAACGCTGGGCTCTGGATGACAGGAGGCATTTCGGCGACGTGGGCTGGCGAGGTTCTCAGCTGCGACTGACGTTTACGGAACGGGCTTGCGACAGGAAAACGTCTGGGTTTACTCTTGGACTGTCGCGTCTTTCTTCAACGAGTCTGCTAGAGTTCCAGATATTCGTGGAAGAACTGTCAACACCGTAGATAAAAACCTTTGATATAGCAAATAACGTGGAACACAAGTTAAAACTTGGAAGAACGTTTATATAAAGAAGTCTAACGTTTCCTTGCAACTAACTTCGGCACGTACGCTAACCCCTATATATACCTGTGGTCGGCAACGTCCTCGGCGATTCTTGCTAGATACCTCCACAACGGCTATTCATATCCCAAGACGAATGTGGCAAGTTTGTAATAGAAACAGACCATCTATCTAATGAATATAACTAATAAATGAGTGGTAATTACCACTTACATATTCCGAGTAAAAATAAGTCACTGCCTTTTACAGGTTAGTCGTAGATGCAAAACATTCTGGCCTACGTGTTTCTTTCAGTTGCCATTGACTACTATTTGCGGCGGAAGGTCACCAATAATATATTTTTGGAGTGTTCAACCTCGTAAACCTATATAAGATCAATTGCTCTTTAATTGCCACTTATCATTTCACGCCCTTTATCATATGATAAAAATTAAGAGAACCAAAATTTTCCTATATCATACGAGAATAAGAATTATTAAAAGATGACTTGTTATTGCTGCCACTACCATTGTTGTCAATATTATTGTTGTTCTTGCCGTTACTGTTATTGTTAATATAATAATAGTAATTGTTGTCATTATCACAATCATCATCTACAACATCATTATTATTATCATTATTATTATTGTTACAGTTTTTTATTAGCATTACTATTATTAGTATCATTATCATCATTATCAGCATCATAATTATCATCATCATTATCATTATTCTCAGTGTTATATAATTATCATTATTGTTATCGTAATAATGATAATAATAATAATAATAGCAATGATAATGATTATCATTATCATTATGATAATAATAATAATAACTATTATTACTATCATTACTATTTTTATTATCATTATCATTAGCACTGTTATCATTAATATCATTATCATCCTTTTAGTTCTCATAGTTCTCATTATGCCCATTGTTATTCATATTCTTATTCTAATTCTTCTTCTTCCTATTACTATCACCATCACCATCATCATCATCATCATTGTTATTGTTATTATTACAATTATTGTCATCATCGTTATCATCACCATCGTCATTGTCTTATATTATCTTAGTCAATATCACTATTATTATCATTATCGTTATCATCATAAGATTATCATTATTATCAGTATTACTGTTATTGTTATTAGTATTGTTATTTATTATCCTTATCATTATTATTGTCATTATTATCATTATTGTTATCGTTATTATTATCATTATCATTATTTTTATCATTATAATTATCAGCATCATTGATACTATTATTGTTATCTTTACCATTATCATTATCATGATCATAGTTATCATTTTGACATTATTATCAACAACTACTACTATCGTTATCATCACCAATTTCAACAACAACATTATTAATATCATTTTTGATATTGTGATTAGTATTATCATTATTGATATTTTTATTATTATTACAATTATCATTACTATCATTATCATTATCATCGTTATCATTATCATCATTATTTTCATCATACTTATTAATATGACTACTATCATCATCATCATCATTATTGTTATTATCATTATTATTATTTCTAATATCATTATCATTATCATTATTATTACTATTATTATTATCAACATTATCATTACTATTATCATTATCATTCTTATTGATATCATGATTATTGCCCTTATCATTATCATTATTATTATTATTGATATCATCATTATTATTATCATTATTATTATTATTATTATCATTATTATTATTGTTGTTGTTGTTGTTGTAATTATTACTATTATTATTGTCATTATTATTATTGTCATTACTATGATTATCATTATCGTTGTTATTATTATTATTATATTATTTTCATTATCATCACTCTTTTCATTGGAACTATTGTTATTAATATCACTGTCATTATCATTATCATTATCAATATTGTTATGATTGGTATAATGAATTTCCTGATTGTTATTATTATCATCGTCATCATGATTACTATCATTGTTATCATTATCATTATTATTATTCCTATTATCATAATTGTCATTACCATTAATACTATTAGTATAATTATCATCATTATCATCATCATCATTATTGTTATTATTATCATTATTATTATTATCATTATTTTCATTCCTTTTATCATTACCCCTGTTATTATTGTCATTATCATCATATTTTTCATTATTTATCGTTACATCATATTGCTATTGTTGCTGTTGCTATTTTTGCGATTAATGTAATTACTATCATCATTCTTTTATTTTCATTCTTTTTATTATTATTGTTATTATCACTATTATTATTATCATTATGATAATGGTAATAAGCATTATTATTGGTGCTTTATTAACATTGTCCTTTTTGTCATCTTTGCTGTTATCATTATTATCATTGTTATTATCATTATTATTATAAATCATTATCATTATCATTATTATTATAGATCATTATCATTATCGCCATTGTCATTCTCTTATTGTTATTACCATTGCTGTTAATTTGATCGTTTCATCACTATCATCATCATTGTTTTTGATATTATTATCATTATCATTATCTTTACCATTGTAGTTATTATAATTGATATTCTTATCATTATCATCATTGTCTCTGTTATTATTATTATTGTTATAATTACTCCCTTATCATTATTATAATTAGTATCATTATTACTATTACTAATATCATTATAATCATAATCATTATCCTCATCCTCATTGCTATTAATATCATCGTTATCATTACTATTGTTATCATTACCATTACTGCCATGATTATCATTATAATTACTATTATTATCATTATCATCGTTGTTAATACTATTATCATTATTATCATCATTATCATTATTATCATCATTCCTTTTCTTCTTTTTTAACTTTTCCTTAATAACCATTGTTATCATCATCATTATTTTGGCCCATCATTATCTCTGGTATTATTATTCAATTTCTTTCTGTATGTGGTAATGATGTACACGGTATTCTACACGAGTCTTATATCAGTATTATGTACTGGTGTGGAAAATTTGATAAGATGTATGTATTATCACGATTTGCACTTTTCACACACACGCATACACACACACACGCACACACACACACATCCTTACGTACATACAAATGTTGTCCGGTAAATTCCCTAACCAAATGAGCTTGTGTCTGTAGGATAGTAAATGAGTCACTAATTATAATTATAAGGCACGCAACCACATGCATGTAAAATACACATATATAAAGCACGCATATCCACAATCAAGCACATGTTGCACATAAAGAAGATAGGTAAACACATACACATTTTTATATAAAAACAAATGCACACACCTACGTACACGAGAGAACTTACATATAACACAGAAAACCCTCACACAAACACACAGACTCACATACACAGAAGTAAGCGTACAAAAACATACAAAGACATACATGAAAAAACATGTAAGGAAGTTGGTCAGTATCAAGTACTATTATAAATATATTTTCGGTCTCGGGAGTTCCCCTTTCCGAAAGAATACGTCCTGTTCTGTAAGTTTCCTGAAATCGAAGAAAATGGACAAACCACAAGTATTGCTTTGTCCAATGACGCTGTATTTTCACTTGTCTATGACGCTGTATTTTCACGTTGTCTGCTTTGTTCATTTTGGGAAAAACGTAACGGAACTGAATTGACGCCAGGTATCTGTAACGATCTTGGGACGAGATCAACTACCTTATATGGTTGTTATGAGGAGTGAGCCTTGCTCATATAGAACAACTTGTTATAGTTATGCAGAGATGAATGATTATTTGATTCATTTGAACATTCTCCTTTTTGAATATCGACGTGTTAGAGATCTTGCAACTAATCAGTCAGTAGAGAGCGACAAGGTTGGTGCTGTGTGTACTGGCTGCTTTGCGTGCCTCTCTGACGTAAATATTGCAACACTTAGATTAGTAGTATCTTACACACACATGTATATATATATATATATATATATATATATATATATATATATATATACTGTATACATATATACATACATACATACATATATATATATATATATATATATATATACTATATACATATATACATACATACATACATACACACACACACACACACACACACACACACACACACACACACACACACACACATATATATATATATATATATATATGTGTGTGTGTGTGTGTGTGTGTGTGTGTGTGTGTGTGTATGTGTGTGTGTGATGTGTGTGTGTGTGTGTGTGTGTGTGTGTGTGTATGTTTATGTGTGTGTATATCTATATTTCTCTCTCTCTCTCTCTCTCTCTCTCTCTCTCTCTCTATATATATATATATATATATATATATATATATATATATATATATATATATACACACATCCATATCTATATACATATATATATATGTATATATGTATATTTATACATGTATATATATATCTATATACATACATACATACATACATACATACATACATACATACATACACACACACACACACACACACACACACACACACACACACACACACACACACACACACATATATATATATATATATATATATATATATGTATATATATACATATATATATAAACAACATTACATACACAGTGTGTGTTGTGTGTGTGTGAAGTGTGATGTGTGTGTGTGAGTGTGTGTGTGTGTGTGTGTGTGTGTGTGTGTGTGTGTGTGTGTGTGTGTGTGTGTGTGTGTGTGTGTGTGTGTGTGTGTGTGTGTGTGTGTGTGTGTGTGTGTCCGTGTACCAGTGGGTCTTGAATTATAAAAATGCTTGATAATATTGTTTATTTTACAAACTCTTTCGAGAGTTCCTTATCGAGCTGTGCGTTATATTTGGGTTTCTCCTGCTCGAACTGGAAGCAGACTGGTTTCACTGTAGCCTATCTATAAAGGAAATCCATACTTTATTTTAAAAGAAGCAATTTCTTTCTTTATGCACATTTCGTGGAAGTGAGAATTTGCAATTCCATTTTTGCTTTCTTGTTGAACTTTCTACACGCCAGAATGCTTTCAGAAAAAATCAAAATCTTCTATTGTCTGTCGA